GAAATTTGCTGAACCATCGTTGACACTTACGAACGTTCAAACATTTCCATAAACTTCTTTGTGGTTAAAGAGACGTTGTTTCCCTTGTATTCAAGCAGCATTACATGTCTAACGTGTATCCCATCAGTATAATAAATTAGAGTATACTAAACTTTACACGTTATATAGAATAACCCAAGAGTTGACAGAGGGAAGTGTTGACTAGCTGCCATCTGTCAAACCTATCATTTCAAAGTTTGGCCCTAAATAGCTTTCCGCGAAATCAAAACAATCCTTTCAGATATTACATTAATAAGTTTCAAAGGTATGGGAGTGTCACACAAAACATTAACCATTCCTTCATTTAAATCAAGAGCTATTCTCGCTAACACAACATAATATACATAACGTTCGTAAATTAGTAAATCATAATGTGGTTCTGGTTCTTAAATTTTTTTATTGTAAATATATCTGTATATATAGCTATGCACTTTGATTTTTGTAAATACATCTGTATATATAGCTATGCACTTTGATTATTGTAAATACATCTGTATATATAGCTATGCACTTTGATTATTGTAAATATATTTGTATATATAGCTATGCACTTTGATTCCAATTTCCTCTTAATTACGGCCCAGCATGGCCAGGTGGTTAGGGCACTCGACTCGCAATCTGCGGGTCGCGGGTTCGAATCCCCGTCACACCAAACATGCTCGCCCTTTTAGCCGTGGGGGCGTTATAATGTGACGGTCAATCCCACTATTCGTTGGTAAAAGAGTAGCCCAAGAGTTGGCGGTGGGTGGTGATGACTAGCTGCCTTCCCTCTAGTCTTACACTAGGGACGGCTAGCGCAGATAGCCCTCGTGTAGCTTTGCGCGAAATTCATAACAAAAATAACAAACAAACATTTCTGACTTTTATTATTAACGTATTAGTTATGAAATTCAACAACCATAAGATTGTTCTGGGCTTAAATATTTATTTATTTATTCCTTATCGCCACATTTTCCACATAATTATTTTGGCGTTAAATAGTTACCTTTAAATAGCTACAATTAAAAATGCACGAAGTTGTTTTGGTTTAAAAGTATTATATAATTTTACTGTTGTAAGCCAAGTTTAATTTTCTTTTAATTTAGACGTTGATATTAATGTTGGGTAGAGATATTTTTGACATCACGAGATGAACGTCTGGAATTTTCTCGAAAGTGTAGTAAATTATTTTAACTATATCAAACACATGTTAGGTGAAACAACGTTATATTGTTGATTGGTTATTGAGTCAACCAGTTAGTTCAACCCTGTAAATTTGAATTTGTGTTTTCAATAAAGTACTGAGATACGAGATAATTAGCAAATAAATATAATTTATATTGATTGACTTATTATTATTTATTTCTGAAATTATACATTTATTAGTTACGTGGAACTTGTTCAAGTTGTGAAAATTGTACATTCGAAGAAATAAAAGGCTTTTGTTGTTATTAAGTGAACTGGAATTTGGAGATTTATCGCTGTGCTAGTAGGGGACGTGAAAGAAGTAAACCACAGGACATCAAGTGTTTCGAATGCAAATTAATATGAATTAAACAGAATATGAAGTATACAAGTTCTGTAAAACTTACTTTCGAAGAATTACAGAAAAGGGATAACTTTTAGAAGTGTGGAAAACATATGCATAACAGCTGGTAATTTGTCGAATTTCCAAATGATGATAAACCAAGGATATGATACTCTAAGGATGAATCCCAGGACACAAACAGATACAAGGAACAATAAAGAACTAACCAGGCATCGGAAAACAGGAATTATCTAGACTTTAGTGACGAAGGTCATCTGAGAATATTCCATCTGTTCCAACTGACATAAGTTCATTATTTAAAGAATCTAGCAGCTTATAAATCAATGGATTCGTTGGTTAGAAACCTTCCAGTATGTTGTTTAACACCGCTTCTACAGCCATCATTGTTAGATACGATCTGGTAATGAAAATTGGGAAGTTACTTCCGTAGATGAAGCAAGAAGAAGACACAGCAATGGGCATAAGGATCAGATAAGAAGAAACATAAATGTGAGATTCGGTTTGCTTCAAACAGTTTCACAGTCTCTGACCATGACACTTCTTTGCATTACAAGGCAATTATTACAAGACAGTAGGGATGACACTTGCATCATCCCTACATAATAGCACAGGCACACAGTGTAGTAGAATGTTAACAGACAAAAAAAAGGATAAATTGAACTCAGTTGTGATTGAATAGTTATATGTTAATTCTTGCCTGTTCTATTG